GAAGATGACTCTCCTGCAGAGGACAACGGAGATGATGAGGAAGTCATTGTTCGAGGCTTCTCTGGCAATGCGACAAGGACGGAGAGGGGCATTAAATACCTGGGTAAGAGACTGGCTAGATACGTTCTCTCCATGTCCTACCCTGATCAGCCCTTTCTTCCGTCCAAGAAAGGACATGCCGAATCAGCAGTCGCTGCCGTTTTTAACAAATCTGAACCAGACAGCAACAAGGCAGCCCACAAACACAGCACTATACACAAAGAAGAGATTCAAGAGAAGCGTCCCTTTACCATTACCAGCATCAGTTTCATTGGACATTCACTGGGTGGATTGATACAAACATACGCCGTTGCATACATTCAGAAACACTCACCAGAATTCTTCAACATTATCAAACCGATCAACTTTGTTGCCCTTGCCACGCCTTTTCTCGGTCTCAGCAACGAGAACCCTCTCTACGTCAAATTTGCCCTCGACTTCGGGCTGGTAGGCAGAACCGGCCAGGATCTTGGCCTAACCTGGAGGGCGCCGACCATCGCAAGGAGCGGGTGGGGGGCAATCGTCAGCAACCTCGGAGAGAGCGCACACAAGAGGGTCATGGGAGAAGTTCAGCCAGAGTCAAAGCCTCTGCTTAGGATCCTGCCGACGGGACCGGCTCACACTGCCCTGAAAAAGTTCCGCAACCGGACGGTGTATTCCAACGTTGTCAACGATGGCATTGTGCCACTAAGAACTAGCTGTCTCTTGTTCTTGGACTGGCAAGGATTGGGACGCGTGGAGAAGGCCCGGCGAGACGCTGGCTTGGTTGAGACTCTGGTCGGTGCCGGTTGGGCTGAACTAACCGGCGGTAGCTTGGCTCCAACACCTCGGAGAACTAGCATGCTCCCTCCGGAAGACGATGCGACGCCCGACGACCAGTCCGGCAACATCACCCCCACGGCCCCGTCCAATGCAGTCGAGGTTCCACAGCCACCGCGGAACGCAATGATGGAAGATGACAGGGCCAGTTTGCGGTCTGTACCCACGCCTTATAATGAAGATGGACCTGAGGGCGGGAAAGACGCAAATAATGGTGGACCATTCGCCGGCTTCTTCTCCATGTTCAAGAGCAGCGACTCTTCGCAGCCCAAGGCACCACCCATATCCAACAAGCAACACAAGATTTACAGGAGAAGTCAGACCATCAATTTTGACGAGATATCGCAGTCATCTGGTGGCTCCTCCAAGGTCACTACCGGCCACGAACTTGAAAGAGGAGAGAATCGGCATATTGCCCCGCCGAGAACGAGCTTCTTCGAGTCCGCTCACGACCTGATCAACCCCAAAATTCCTACCACCGAATACCTGATCGACCCATCCAAAAGGCCTCGCGCAATCTTCCATGACCGTGTCTACCAGCCTGCTGATATTCCGCCTCCGCCGTTGAAGAAGAAGCCCACGGGATCGTTGGCTTCTCGGCGAGGCACGTTCCGAAGGGCCGCCTCAACTGGCTCTGGAGGGTCGAGGACTAGTACGGACTCGTCTCCGCATCCATCTCACCGGTTTTCACATGAAGGTACCTTGGATTCAACCAGAGACTACGATGACACAGCCAACACAAACCCGAACAAGGGCGCCGATGAGGAGATTGACGCATCGCAGATGCGGGTTGAAGAGAAGATTGCACGTGCTTATCATCGTGGACTCGCTTGGAGGAAGGTCTTGGTCAAGCTAGAGCCAGACGCTCACAACAACATCATCGTCCGTCGAATGTTCGCCAATGCCTATGGTTGGCCTGTGGTGAAGCATCTCGTCGACGCCCACTTCAGCGACTCCGCTACGGCGAGGACACGTGATGCTGACGAGCCAACTGGGGAAAGAGCCAACGATATCAGCCTGCCACCTAATAAGTTTGGCGATGAGGTCAACGATAGTGGTGCTTCGTTTACCGGAGATGGCGCGAGCGATGTTCTGGGGACGGCGCTTCTGTCTCCCAACTCCCAGAGAGAGGCGGAAGACATGGTCCCTGACATGCAGCCACCCCCGAAGCGCCGCTCGTCATCCCGAAGCTCCTCGGCCAGTCCGCCGAGGGCAAATCGGCCTCCACGACCGCCTGAGCGTGTCGACTCGGTTACGTGGAGCGAACGTGACTGGGCGGACAGCGATGATAGCGATACTACAACAACGACAGCCAGTGCAAGAAGCCCCACATCACCGACAGGCCCCAAAGACAAGGACAAGGCGCGATCATCGACGCCGCTCGGAGGCTGGAATTGGACGGAGAAGATTGTTGGTAGGGCAAGTCGCAAGTCATCACCCAAGCCAGAGACGACAGATGCCACCACGGTGACGGCGCCAGCCAGCTAGAGCGCAAGGGACACTTTCGTGCAAAAAGCCTACCTTTACGTACATACATACTGATTTAATCGATGAGACCACGCCCTGATGAAGTTCCTTCCTAACGTTTGATGGCCGCATTTTATAAACCCAGTAAAGTTATACACCCAGTAAAAACTTCCTTCAAGCAGTGATACAGTATAGGTCAAACAGAGACTGTGTATATGCCCTACACTTGCCTGCGTATAGTTTTTGTAGGCGATGGTCATCGGACGTTGTAGATTTACGTGCCTTGTTAGCGAAGCAAGCTATCTGGCGTCGTTGTTGATGCGGCTACGTTCCTAAGCGATTGCAGCTTGCAACGTGTGGGCAGTATTAAGTATCACGTTCAGAAACGGTCAATTTTTTTTTTTCCAGTTTAGGACCAGCTTGCCAAAAAAAAAAGTCCAAAAAGAAGTTGGACGAACAGGGAATCGAACCCTGGACCACTCACATGCTAAGCGAGTATTATACCACTAAACCATTCGCCCGTGCCTTGTAAGAAATCCTGTCCAAGAGCAGTTCATATCCATGGCCGCCAACAGCAGAATCATCACAACCTATGGCTAGGACGACCCAAGTAAAAGCAGCATCTCAAAATTAAGGCAGGTCATGTCTCGAGAAACTTTGGGTGTAGTGGTGCATGGGTGTATCCTTTAGAGGAACACTGCGCGCCGATTCATATCCGCCGCAAGACGAAGGTTTCCAACACCTCTGTACCGAGTCAGTCCAAGTTCATCCGATGAAGGGATGCAGAGCGGACGCATGGATCCAAGAAAAGAAGAGAAAGGAACATGCCTTCAGTCTTCGTTGGACTCGCTGTCGTTTGCCAGGTCGACTTGGAAAACCCCCCTCGCGAACCGGACAACAAGTTTTTTGGCCTCGCTCTTACGGTCATCCACCCTCCACCGCTCCTCGTCTCCCTCCCACGTAATCTTTGTGATTCTCCTACTGCAACCGTCCGCGCCAGAGGGTATCACTGTGATCTGTGTCAAGGGATACCTTGTCCAGCTCCTAGCCAGCACGATCCCCTCCCCCTCTCCACCGTTCGCCTCCACCGTTCGCCTCCGCCGCCGCCACGTGGGCTATCACCCATCGGTCCTCCATCTGCTGCGGCCAGAGCCCCTTCTTCATGCGCTCCCATCCGGCCGGAGGAATGACGCGCGCGCCGTCCCACGCAGCCGAGACCGGCTTCGAAAACTCGTACTTTCGCTCTCTCCAACTCCCCTTCTTCTTCTCCTCCTCATCGGCCTCCTCCTCAACCTTCCCAGTCTCCATCGTGGTGTGGGTTCGTTCGTTGGGTGCACTGTTCTGCGTCGGAGAGGCTCGTAACATGCCCACAAGGCGCAGCGGTCCTTGAAAGACGATATTTGCTACTCGGTTCATACTGGCTTCGTTGCAGGCGATCTTGAACTTAAAGCGACAAGTTGGGAAAGTAAGGTTGTTGTCAAGTGCCCCATCTTAAGTACTTAGGAGGCGGAGGCATGGCTGCCTGCTCCTACCTTCTTCATTCCTCGTCGCTCGCTCAGTTTCGATCCTCATATCCTGCGGGCTTATTCGCTTACGCAAGGAATCCTCTCTGTGAAATGAGTCAGATGCAGGACCCTACCCAAATCATCAGAATGGCATCCGAAAGTTTTGTCGATGTGGACTGCCGCATGAGATGTGTGTGGTGAGGTCGTCTAGGCAGACACCTCTTAGGCAGACTTGATAACATGACACGAATAAAGGGGGTCCGGTGGCCGTGCTGCATGAAAGCCATCCGCGGTATGGGAAACTCCATCCTAGTGCTGTAAACCCAGATATGAATACTCATTCATGTACGTTAACGAAGCTAATACTAGGTTCTATTTACAGCCTACGCAGGTCAACACACATTGCATTGCTGGACCTTCGGACGCAGTAGTTTTGATTTTTTTTCTTTTTTTCTATTCGCTGTATCTGCGACAAATGTACGAATGAGGCGACCCCTTGTCCGACAGCCTCGGTGATGTAGGCACATCTCAACCTGACAAGCGGGGGAAAATAACACAGGACAAAGGTGGAGCTGCGAGCTCGAGGCGCAGTGTTATAGACGCCTCTGCATCTGCAAAACAAGAAAACAAAAGATGTACAAGGGAACCCAGCCTGGTTCTTTTCCCCCAGGGTATCGCCAGCCATAATCCAACTCCGAACTCATCGCCACTCGTTGATATGGCTCCATTGCATCACCCATCCCGCTTTTCGCCCCATGTATAGATCCTGAGCACAGATACAAAATATTAAAAAATAAAATAAAAAATCTCGATATTCCAAAGAATGTTCCTCCTGGACAAGGTGGGGGACGGAAGGTGGAACAGCCCAAGTACAGCGACATCGAGAATATGGTAATACGGTTGGGGGACAGGGTGACAAAACCGTCGACACCTCTGGCCCGGTGAGTAGAATGGTACGTACTGCCAGACATGAAGTAAAGAAAAGGAAAGAAATCTTTCGAGCTGACAGCTCATGGCCAAAGACATATATACCGAACGTATTATGCCCTCTCTAACTGCCATCGGTGCGACACCGGGCAATCGCCAGGCATCTCATTCAAACAGGATCCTCCCGAAGGGTATCGAAGCGTAAATGGTGACAAATATGGAAAATGGCGTTTAGGTCGTCAATCAATTCCAACCGAGTGAATTCTCAGCAGCAACGGGGGCAGAGATGATCGCGGTCCTTGCTGAATTACCCGGGCCGCTGCGGTTCGTGCGGCCACTGCCATGACTGTCTCGGCCACCGGCGATTCCACCGTAGTTAGAGAAGTCCCTGCTCATCAAAGCCCCGCCCATCATCGGAGGGCTGCCCGCACCAGTGTAACGCATTTCAGACGAGGTGAGGGAGCTAGCGCGGCGGTGGGCCTGCTTCTTTTGCTTGTAGCGACGAGCAATGATGAACATGGCGGCGCCGTACGCAGCAGCAACACCAACAGCACCGATACCAATAGCCGCAGCAGTGCCCTTCTGGATGGGGGTCTGCTCGTTATTATCGTTGTTGAAAGGGTCGTTAGGGTTGGCAGCATCGGTGGACGATGAGCCGCCGTCACCAGTGGCATTGGGGTCATCCTCCATACCCGGAATAATTTCAATGGCAGGGTTGATGTTCTGAGTGAGGTTGAAGACAAGCTGGTCAGGGTTGTTGTAGATGGCAGAGTTAGGAATCTTGATATCCATGCGCAGGGTGTCAACCATGCTAGTAGGATAGTAGAACCTGGCCAGGGTAGTAATGTAGCCGAGAGTCTGAGATGTGTCGTAAGGAACAAGCTTCTGCATCTTGATCTGGGTCAGGTCGAGACCGGCGGCGTCGGCCAAAGCCTTGGGAAGACAGCTGAAGATCTGAGCTGCAGCGTTGGGGTTCTTGCTGACATGCTGGTAGTTCTCGCCATGCAAGAAGCCAATTTGCAGAAGGGTGGAGTCTTTCGGCTTCTCAACGTTAGGGTCAGGCGGGCTGATGACCTTGGGGAGGTCAGAGGGCAACGGTGCTGTCGTCGTGGGGGCCAGAGCCTCGGTAGGAGTGCTGATTGAGGTGGATTGCTCCACGATGATGGTGGTAGGAAGCCAGGACTCGGAGTCCGTGATCGTAGCCGTGGCAGGAATGCTGGTGATGACGGGTGTGGTCGAGGCAGGAGGAGTCGATACCGTAGGTGTGGTCTCAACAACAGGCGTTTCGGTAGTGTTGACGGGGATGGCAGTCGATGTAGCAACCGGAAGCTGAGTCGTCGTAGGCTGGGAGGTAACCGGAACGGATGTCTCGGTCACAGGAGCAGTCTCGTTTGCGATGGTTGTCGGCGGGATAGAAGCAGTGGACGCCGGAACAGAGGTCGCACTCTCAGCATCGGTGGTGTTGCTAATGGAAGTCACAGAAGAAGGGAGCTCGGTTGTTGTGGGGAGTCCGCTAGTAATGGGAACCTCCGTCGAAGTGGAGTTGACAGGGATGGGCTCCACGGAACCAGTCGCTGTAGTTGTGGGTGCAGACGTGACAATGCTGTTAGTCAAAGTAACCGGCTTACTAGTTGACGTTTCTCCCACAGGAATCTCTGTCGATGTAGCGTTGATTATGCCCTCCGTAGAAGAAAGCACAGTGGTGGGAACCGACACGGGGAGCTCGGTTGAGGAAGTGATGTTAACAACAGGGTCGCTAGGAACCGGCACGGACGTAGTCGGCTCAGTCGAGATCTCAAGTGCCGAGGTAAGATTCACAATGGGGTCGGTAGGCACTGCCGATGTCGTGGTACGATCAGTTGGCGATGGGAGAGCAGTGGGCGTCGGGATAGGGACGTCGGACGAAGCGGCAGAGGACGAAGCGGCGGGGGGCTCGGCAGAGGTTGCGTTGATGATGGGGACTTCGCTGGATATCAGGGAAACAATTGGCTCCAGCGGGTTCGTAGGCTTCGTTGTCTGAGGGGCCTCGGAAGAAGCAACTGAAGTTGGCAGGCGAGTGGCGGAAATAGTAGCATCTGTGGAGGCGTTCTCGGCGGGAGCAGAGGATTGAACGGCAGCGGAGGTGGTTTCGGCAGGCAGTGAGACGGATTGGGCTGAAGTGGACACTGCGGGCTCCGTAATGTTGACACTGGGAGCAACGCTCGAAGCAACGACGCCGGAAGTTTGCTGTTCGGGAATCGAAGTCGACTCCGCAGCAGAGGTCTTGGACTCCGAAGTTGATGTCTCACTCACGACACCAGTCGGGGCAAGCAAGATACCGGAGGAAGAGATGGAGAGAGTCGTCTCCGGCACTGAAGTAGACCCGGCCTGGGTTGTGGGAGCAGCCATATTGCTGCTGTTGGCAATCTCAGAGCTAGCAGGGCCGGCTGAGCTCGTGACGGCCTCCGAGGTTGGCGCAACGACAGTGCTTGAACCGGGGGCACTTGACACACGAGCAGCGTCAGTGGGCTGAGTCGAGTTCACCTCAGTCGCGGATGCGGCGGTAGACTCGACGGCACTAGAAGCTGCCGGCGTGGTCTCTGCAATGTTGGATGACTGAGCCACTGAAGTCGCCGACTCGGGGGCGGTGAATGACTGAGGGACAGAAGATTCCGGGGATGGGGTAGACTGAACGGCAGCAGCGGACGACTCGGGGGTAGTCGTCGGGGTTGTTGCGGCAGCGGAGCTTTCAGCCGTCGGCGTAGGCGTCGTGGTCGGCAGAGGTGAGGTTGTGGGGGCATCGCTTGTCGCAACGGCAGAGGATTCGCTCGTTGTAGGCACGATGACGGGGGGGAGGCTAGTGGTGGAAGCCGCACCGCTCGCCGTCGTCTCCGTGGATGGGTCGAAGACGATGGTGCTAGAGATCACAACAGTCGTAACACTGCCATCTGCAAGAGTTGCGGTGGACAGCGATACAGAGGATTCAGCGGTTCCTGAAGAGACAAGCTGGGTCGATGCGACAGTAGACGTGGGCGAGGGTGATGTGATGGCGGGGATCTCTGTTGAAGAAGCGCTGGATGACGGATTCTGATTGAGAGTGTCGGTCAAGCTGGTCAGGAAGTCACTAAATGACGAACTCGGCCCGCTTGATGTTGTCGAGTCGAAGGGCGTGCTCTCCGGTGCTGGGAAAGTTTCGGGTCTCGTGCTCGTGGAATTCGTGAACTGGCGTTTGACGTGACGGGGAAAGTAGATCTTGGGCCTTTCCTGGTCGGCGCAGGCAGTGGTTGCCAAGCCCAGGGCGGCGGCCAGAAGAGCAGACTTGGCGTGCATGTTTCCTTCCCAACAATAATCCCGATTATCGAATTTTCAATTCAAGTTTTGTTTTAGCGATTGTAAGATAGCAATTTTTGGCAGTGTTCAGTAGTCTCCATGGAGAGTCAGCAGTGGCGCTCGGCGACAGCTAGAGTAAGACGGGACTCACTTGTCAGGGGGTTCTCAACGAATGTACTTGACAAATGTGTCAATGAGTGTAAGTATAGTTTGTTGTGTTTTGCAAGGTGGTAAAAATGAGCGACTCGACGAGAAATCGTCGGATGGGTGCGGGAAGGACGTGGTTTAGTTGTCCGTCACGGGTTGAAGAATTACAGCAATTTTCGATCGCGAATTCATGAGGAAGTTGGCGTTTATCCGCGAGACCTTTGTCGGGTCGTCAGATCCGTTCGTGGCACATAAGGGGACGGAAGAGGATCGACTCGGTGGACCGCGTAGGCGCAAAGGGGGCGCAGGTTGAGAATCGAAGAATCGACGTCGCCCGGGGAATTCTTGACGGAGGCGAGAGGAGGTCGAGGTCGACGATTCGAAGACGAGGTCGGGAGAGGTGGGGGCGCGAAGAGGAGAGCGAACGAGAGGAGTAAAAAGGGAAGGGAAGGGAAAAGCGAGGGTGGTAAAGGAATGGAAGGGGACAGGAAAGAATGTGGATGGAACGAGGCAGCAAAAGGATGGGAGATTGATTGATTGATGGAAACACACGACAAGGGATGAGCGACAGGACGGGGGGGGGGAGAGAGAGAGAGAGAGAGGATGAGCAGACAGGGGGGATGGGGGTGGGAGGAGGGATGAGGGAGTGGAGGGGAGGGGATGAGAGGGAATAAGATGGGATGGGTTGGGATTTGGGCGGGACTGAAGGGAGTTGGAATGGCAGACAAGCCGGGCACTGCTGGACAGTAGTAAATCGCAGTCCAGGCACGGAATAGAGCGCAGACAGGGGTGATGGCCCATTGGTTTTGGCGTTTTTTCTTTCCTTTTTCCCCCCCCCCCCCCCCCCCCCCCCCCCTTCCTTTTGCTCCTCGACCTCCCTTCTGCTAAGTCGGTCCCTCTCCCCGGTGCAACCAGCCTAGCCCAGCCCAGCCCAGCTCTTGGCCATCCACACTCTCGCTCACCTACCGCAGCTACTTCACTCTTACCTGCACCTACACTTGCACTGGCGGCTGCACACGCCCACCACACTCTCAGAACACACACACACATACACACATACGCCCCCCCTTTTTCTGCTCGACGAAACAGCAACAACACAGCACGGGCATGCAACGACGACAACAACAATAACAACAAGACGAACAAACGAACGAACCAACAGGACTCGTCTCGGGAGGAACACAAGGCCCTGCGGGTGAGCCAAGGCCGAGTTGGCAGCGTGGAAAGGCACCTGGGCTACTTTGTGCATCCAACAGTGAACAAGAACGTATATTGTAGTGTCCGCCGTAGTCAGTCAGTACTTCCATTAGTTTTACGCCGGTGGTAACCTCTGATTCCCTCTAAGATCATTACATTGTAGGGGCGAGCCCAGCATGTCACCCACCACACGCACAAGTCGCCGAATGCCTGGGTGACTGAGCTTGCTTATGCCAGCTTACCTACCTAAGGTAGTCTCCATAGAGCGGTACGAGTTATGCTCGCCGCCAGCAGCGGCGGCCGATGATTGCGCAAGTGGACTCGGAAGTACAGAGTAACAAAGCAGCCTATCTCAGTGCGTACCTCACACATTCGTTCGTGCATGGGCGTCGCTTATGCGTATAGACGGCCAAACGGGCGGAACTACGGCTCGTGTGTTTAGTAGATGCATTCCTAATCGTTATGGAATAACCGCCTCAGTTGACGACTGAGACGAGAAGGAACGGCTCGGTAGCGACGAGCAACCGCCCAATATGCTTCGTCTGATCTCATGCCTAGTCTGCCTCACTGTACTCCAAGCTCTGTACGCGGCAAAGTCACAGCGTCTCAACAGTGCACGGCACACACAATCCGTTCCCTAGTGCTAGTGCAGTGCTCTACGAGCAAGGGGCGTGCCGCGGAAGAAATTGCATTTTGACTGGGAAGCCAGGGTCCGTTGCGTGCGCAGGTGACCAGATCCAGGATCTCCCTCCCATCTCTCAGGTACAAACAAATTAGGTAGTTTAGCAGAGACGAGCACCGGGCCGTCCAAGGAGCCAGCGTCCCTGCATAGCCTACCTACCGCTACGTACTTTTGATCTGTGTTTGCCGTGACTACCTACCTGGGAAGCTGCAGACTGAGCTAAGGCAAGGTAGGTGAACTGAACTGAACTGAACTGAACTTGGCAACGGCAATGGCACAGACGATCTCGACGACTCTCACCGGAAGACACCATGGCGTCGTACCGGCGATGACGGCTCAAGGTACGTTTTGGGCGTGTTCACGAGCGTCTCTGGCCCTTTCTGGCCCTGTTCTCCTAGGCCGGCAACAGCATGCCGGTGGGCCAGGCGGAAATTTTGGAAATGACATTGCTGTTCTGGTCGTGGTCTACCGTCAGGTCACCTCACTGTTGCGGCGGTGTTGCTGCTAGGGGACCAGGCCTGCCTACGGATACGTAGTTACCTAGGTAGTCCAGAGGTAGCGGTACTGAGGCATCAATACTTCAATGCATAGTGCCTTAGGTACCCGGACCTGATGTAAGGTTAGGTAAGGTAGCCGGGCTGCCTTCGATTGGGATGGGATGGGATGGGATGACTCGATGAGATGGCAGACGCCAAAGGGGTCCCAGGTTTTGCAAGTTTAATTTGGAGCACGGTCTAAAAATGGCCAGGTCCCTCGGTGGACGACGGGCCTACCTCTGGAAGCACAGCGTGCTGTCTGTCTGTCTATCAGTCCAGCAGTCCAGCACGAAAGACTCGGAACACAGCCTCACTACGAAAATGGTACAGGATCAGGATCTACTATGTACTATGTAGATAAGGCAGGCACTTGATGGAGTAGGTACATCAACTTGCTCGCGATGTAAGGCGGGACACAACGCGGACCATACTTGGGGAAGTGTGGCTTGATACTCGAGTACATACGACTGACGGGCAGGCGCAATTCATCTCTTAGTACATCTCTATCAGAAAGACATTCTCCAGCACCGGCTCCCCCTCCCATCGACTTCCTTCCCTGCGCCCCTTCCCCCGCCGGGGCTTGTTGCTCCTTCTAAGGTACCTAGGGTGAAGCGAGCAGGGCAGAGCAGAGCAGAACAGATTACAGAACTGTCCGCTGGTAGTGGGGACGGACAGGGGAAATATGACAAGCGATTGCAGATCATTGGCTAAATCTCAGCAGGACGACGCTACGGGCAATTTTGCACCGCTCAACCCCTGCACCAGTGTGCAGTCCGGGTCTCCATCAATTGACATCCAACATTCCATTGGAACAGGTACTGCGTACGGTACGGATACTCAGTACGAATATCCGTGCAGTACCTAAGGTAGGTAGGTATTGTTGGAACTCGAGAGTTGGATGGGCGGAAGCAGGCTCTCCTCTCCAGCTGTGCACACGCTGTCCCTCTCACGTGGCTGCACAACGTTGGCCGATGCATGCACATATCGGCCATGCGGGCATACGGGACTTCGCTTCGCAGGTACGGATAATCTACCGTGAACGCGACTACTAAGGTACTGTGGAAATCGCGCAATGTGTCCCGCCACGCCGCAGCCTGGCATTTCACCTCACACACATGGCGATGCATGCTGACCGTCGCCCATCAGCTGCACTCTGTACCTAGATACCTAAGGTACCTTACCTTAGGTAAGGTAGGTGACTGAGGCTGGTATTCGTAGGGCCGCGATACTGCGTAGTATCTGTCGCATTGTCTTGCTGGCGTTGCGACCCGCCACGGTGCCTAAATTGACGTTTATGAGTATAATAGATTACCTGCCTGCTGTGCTCGGGAATTGATGTGCTCAGGCCGCCCGCCACCTGCAGTCGATAATGATACCTTCGTCAACTTGGCTTCTTGGTACTCACCTGCCTCCTGCAGCACCTCACCCATATTCGTACCTGCCAACGGCCTATCGTCACTTGCCCACTGCCCACAAAAGTCTACTTTTGGCGGCGTGACAAGCTTCATTGCTCGAGAATACAACGTTGGCGGTGATCTTTCCAAAAACTTCAAATCCAATCCTGGAAACGCCTGGCCACGACTGACGGGGTCAACGAACCCGCCCAACGGCCGATCATCGCGCAAACAATGGGTCGCCTGCTCGGCGACGCGCCTGTTACCCAGGTTCGTGCTGCAGCGACTTCCCACAGTGACTGGACTTTCCATTGGTATAGCTACCTAGGTACCTAGGTACAACCCAGGCCGCGTCAAGCAGTGAGCAGCCCTGGGTCGCTGCGCCGTCCAGCTCAGGTACCGGCGTACCCATGTGCATCCGGCGCTGGCGGAGGCGACTGTGCCGTTGCTAAACAGGGCTACCGTTGACGCAAAATTGCTCTTGTCCCTCTCCCGTGTCCTGCATCCCTGTCCATGGTTCGCCTTTCCCTTGCCACTTTGTGGATGGCACAGGACCCATATCCAATGGGAGGAGGCGCCGCTCGCCTTAGCCTGTCTCGAATGTCCCATCGATGGACCGTGGGCTTGAGCCTTTAATCACATCGGCACTGGACCAACACAGCCAAACATCAAGATTCTGCCCGCTCGCCAAAGCAACCGCAATGAATAACCCTCTCCCACCGTTCCTCTTTCTCTCCTCTCCTTGCTTACCTACCCACAGTGCCACGTTCACACACTGTTGTGCCGAGTGTACGCAGCACGAGACGCAGGCCATCGAGTCTTTGAGTCGAGTCGCCAGCGACGTGCTTGCTTTTCCAGTGCAATGCCGGCAAGCCGGTTCTTGTCAATCTCTCTGCAACTCAGCAAGCGGGGTTTACCATTGTTGATCAGCGAGCAGACAGGGGTACACAGAGAGGCACAGATGACGTTTGGGGGGGGGGGGGGGGGGGAGGGCTGGCCAGACGGTCTCGCTAGGAGATGGATCCCCAAAAGACTGTTCTCGCCCGTTCCGATCAGCGGCCGAGGGCCACCCTGCGGAGTGTACTCGACTTGTTGCGTGTCTTCCCCACGTGGTCATGACCGATGCCAGCGCAAAAGCATCGCCAAAGCTTTGCCAGTTGCAGTTGCTGCCTGCAACGAGTTGATGTGGTCGCCACGCGCGACTCAGGTTAATTGCTGAGTCACTTCATTAAACCCCAAAACACACCCAACTAAACTTACTATTAGTGCAACGGATGCTCAGGCAGTTGCACGCTTGGAGCCCTTCTCTCTGTGTCCGCAGACCAAGTTGGTTGCACACACGTCTCTCAGCTTCAGCTTCAGCTTCCGCTTCCGCTCCAGTTCTACCACAGACAAGCCTAGGAATGTGTCGGCTCAAAACCATTCGTCGTTGCTCTGCGTCTTTTGGAATCCCCTGAAGCTTATGCGCGCTGTGGTTCTGCCTTCGGACGATCCCTTCGGAAACTCTTCGCTTGGGAGGACCCTCCTCCAAAACTCTGTTTGTTACAAGAACAAGACGTTCGTGGCACGGTTTCATTATCATTCGAATCTTTCTGGTGAGTCTGTCGAACTTGAGTTCAATCAGGCCTGGAAGCACTGGCTGAAGGCTTTCCTGAGACGAGGTCTCGTATTCCTTCCCCTCGTCGTCACAGGTCCAGGAGACTCTTCGTGGCCCCAGCACTGCGCTCCGGGGTCTGGGTGTGAAGTCCTCAGTGAACGGAATGCGGGACGGTGCAACAGAAGCTCAAAACACGACATGTCGAGGCTGTGCAGTCCTCTCGCCGGCAGGAACGGCGCCTCCACGCCTTGCGGCTTTCCAGCCGTGTCTCTACATCCCGTTACTCTCATTACCGTCCCCATTCCTCGCAACTTGCCGTCCGGCCCGTCTCGCCGTGGGTCGCTTTACATCCCCAACTTCGAACCCATCGTGTCATCAGAGTGCCAAACTCAGCCCGCCGTCCCCTTGAGTTGCATGTCTTCGGCGTTGGAGAAGCCATCAATAGAGCTTCGCAATCGGTAGCCAGGACATGTCTCGGTCTAGACCTCAGTCGATCACCTCCATGTCGACTATTGCCCGATGTGTGTCCTGGCGGCTGTCCAGCCGCTGCCGGGCCGGTCCCGAACCCTGTTGACTTGAGTTTCCAATGCAGACGATGGCCATTGTGTCACCACCACAGCATGACTTTTCTCCCTTGGGCTGCGGCCTCGCGCGTGCCACCATCGATAGTGAGGCTCCCGGCTTGAGATCAAATGGGGCCAAGACACATGCTATCGTTGAGACCAGAGCATAGCTCCAGGTACGGCGCGGGCGTGGCTTGATCTAGTGTCACCCCTAAGGCTTCGCGCCTTCAAGTGACGAACTCCCATTTCTGGCGCTGCCACTGAAATGTGAGGTGTTGCACGGCGATCAGATCGATTCATCATCGTCGTCTCGTCTCATCCCTACCCCTCGTCCAGCGCTCGTTCTCTCCCACAAAAGCTTCCACTCCCTCTCCTCCCTCTCCTCCCTCTCTGTCTCTTTCTTCTTACTCTAGCGCGTTGGCATTGACGCGCTTACCGGGAGCCACGTTGCGCGGCTACGGAGCAGGCTCTGGACGCATCGCACCTGAGAATGTGGGCACGTCCTGAATCCCTGAAACAATATCGGATGGATTAGATCAGTGGGTGAGTGACAGCTGAATCTGACCTTGGACCCATCCGAGCATTTCTTCAGCTCGTTTCAAATCGTTCCAGGGGCTACTTGTCAGGCACTCTCCCCGCCTTCCAGAGTGCAAAAGCTAGCTGTTTACCTGTCGATCATCCTATTAGCTACCAGTCGCATCATATTAAACCAGCAACTTCCGTTCCAAGCACACCGCCCACGGTATGTCTGCTTGATTTTGATCACCGGCGTGTTTGGCAGTGTCTCTGCTTCGACGAACGAGACGCGCATACAGCTAAGACTTCCAAACCTCTTTCCGGATTCTAGCCATTGTAGCACACTGGTATGATCCTTTTTGCGACGAAGCAAGTTCAGAGTAGCACGAATGTTCCAGCCACGCTGCCGGTCCCCTTGACGTCTCGTCCGTTCTTGCACGTGCCCAACCACCAAACGCTGCAAGGCCTGCTTGTGGCTTGTGCTGATCCAGATGCCATGTTTGGGATATCAGCGGATGAACTCTGGTCAGTCGCGGTCGCCTCTTCAACGCGTTTGGCGCAACCACCCCACGCTTCGCAGACATAGAGCTTGGCCCTGTCCTGCGTTTCAGCAACAGGCCGAGAGACGTCATAGGAATGCAATGCTGCCACCCGCCAGCGATGGTTCAGGTGACGCCGGACCATCCCGTGGCACTAGGTGCTCCAGCCATTAATTTGTTTGTCCAAGTGCAACTTTGTGTGGTTCACTCTGTGACGATGGATTTGCTTTTCCGGCGCTTCAGTGGCTTTCTAGGACTTGGGCATTCCCGTTCATCAACAGGCCATCCCCGGCATCACGTTGCCTGGAGTGTTTGCACGGTCTGACCCGAGCCGCAGTCCCGATCCTGTAAAGTCGGCGTGTTAGAAATTGATCGCGCAAGTGTCCGTGAAGCGCCAGAAAAGCAACATCATCCATTCCATATACTCCCTGGAACATTTTCGTGTTGCTACTAAGTCTGTGACGTCTCCTACCTGCACGCGTGTGATGCCAATGGATTTCTGTTACAGTAAGACCTGAACTCGAGTCTGCACCCGGGCCTCGGGGCCCACCCCATCGCCGAGGGGCCGGCTGTATACCTCGGGCTTGTCTGGGTTCTCAACGCCACCGGAACCGAATGCATGGTGCATTCAGATGATTTACACCGATGATTCTAATGGCCTCGTCTGTCAGCGCGGCTTCATTATCTCACCTTCAACGGACAAGCAACTCTCAACCCTGTCTGATTGTTCCGCATTCTCTCGAGAGCCCTGCGTTTACCCTTACACACATGAATCGGCCATCGGCCATACATGTCTTCAGCCAGCTCTGTTCATGATGTTCGAGGGGACCGGGCTACTTGGTTCGGGGGAGAGGGGGCTGCTGGCAAAGAGTCGACTATGTGTTGGACCTGGTAAGTGCACACTACCAAGATTTACGACGAGGATTTACTGACATTTTACTTATTAGTCCCATTGGATATTTCTCATAGCCAGGCGCCTTTGATGCCCCGCTCCGATCCGTCGTTGATGGCGGCCTGATGCGGAAAACACGCAAGCATTGCGCAGATCGAGATGGGTTTTGATTTGTTGATACCCTGTCAAGACCGCAGCTGTCTTGTCTTTGGCCACAGCATTTCGCCAATGAGGGGCCTGGGCCGTATTGCAAAGAACCCCTATACAGAACACGTTACCGGGTCCGATGCTGTGGCGCAAGGTCGACATCTACGTGTATGACGACAATGACTGGCTATGACTATGGATATACAGCTGCCAGACCCCGCAGGACGACCTACGAATTGCTCCACGGACACCCGCCGACGTGGAGACATGATGGTCTATCATATTCTGACGACAATTGACGAGGAACGAGGACGAGGACGGCGTGTTCGCAAGCCTGACCGGAAATGTATTGGGCTTGCCGCGAAGATGCATATGCGGGCGAGGTTCCGAGCAATCACATCATATGTCAAATGCTCCACGAAGTCTTCATGACGAGCTTCGCGCCTGTTGTATCTGCGAGACGGCACATCCTGGGTCGCAGAGAGCCCACAGTTTGGTTTCTTTTTCTGCATTTGGTTTTCGGACCTGGCCTTTTACAACGGCAGAGATTGGACGGGGCTGTCAAAGGCGGTGGAGATGTGCGCGTTGTCATGTTCTCAAGCTCGGTTGACGGGATTTTCTATCACATTTTTTGTTGGCAGGGCTGCAGTCAGTGGCTGGTGGACAAGGCTTTGCTGGTCGGGCGCCATTGGCTCAACGGTGGGACATGGGCGAATAGGGCCGCGCCCGAGGCGAACAAAGTTGGCACAGCCAACGATGGAGAACTTCGAGGTATCACTGAACGGCGGGATGCTGAACAGTTGATGTTGGCGTTCATAATGAGAGGTGTTCAGACTGATCGAAAGAAAACCAAGACTACCTTTCTGTCCGATCGTACGTACCTCGTCAGTCAGAGACACAGGCCGAGCAGGCGTTGTCGTCGTTGTGGTCGAATGGGCAGGCTACCTAGCGCGAAGGGGATGGAGGGGCATCAAGCACGGGGAACTGGAGACTGGGGCATACGGATACCCCTCGTTCAATTCAAGGGACTGCCGAGCGGCCGACGTAACGTTCGCCGCTTGTTAGCCCTGCATGATCCACGAAATGCGTGCCCGTCAGGGCCTCAGATGAGTACGGACGAGTGGTCAACGAGATCGAGATAGCGGCAGTGATTCCTCAGACCTTATGTACTGGTTGAGGATGTGAATCAAGTTCGGGTCAGGCAGAGAGGGGTTGAAACAGCCCAAGCTGGGTGATTGTACATGATATGTGTTTGGGCGGTGAGTGATCAGATAATCTGGCTAGTACGGCTGATTGGAGGAAATAGAGGCAAACAGGCTGCGGGAGGTGCCAGAAGTGCCAGGTCACGTAAATGCAAGCAACGAGAGAGATAGTATAGATATAGTACCATGACTGGGATAAGGTACGTGGAGTAATGTAAGGCGCTTGACTTCCAAGTTCCTATCGCGACGTTGGAACCGTGGTCTCTGTCCGTGGAGAGAGCCAGTCGTACCAGTGTACCGGGGTACTTTGGCCTCCAACGCGCGCAAGCGCAACTCATCAAGCAACTGCGAAGTCGTCGCGACTGCGGCATCACCTCAGCCATCATTGCCATGCGCATATTACCCATGCGCATACTATACCATACCATACCATACCATATCGATCCGATTCCCGCATTGAATTCCCACAAAGTATTTAAAGTGCAAGGTCGCGTCCGCTGGGCTGAATTGTCGCATCCGTAGTGCCGCCGCCCCTTGCCCTTGACCTTGGACCTTGACCCGAAGAATACAAATTACCCCTCCATACCCCACTTCCACTGCTCGGGACCTAGGTATCTAAGCTTGCCTTCGTTGCTTCAGCTTTCTTCTCTTTCTTTCCCACTCCCATCTCACCTCCACACTACGCAACAACTTCCACACACGAATTGCCAACTTCAGCAACCATGGGCGTTACCAAGACTACTCATCAGGAGGGATCCGGTGCCATCCCCAAGCCCGGCCAGACCGTCACCATTGAGTACACTGGCTACTTGAAGGACACCACACAGCCCGACAACAAGGGCAAGAAGTAAGGACGCCGGACTCTGCCCCTGCTGCTCTCTTCTGCTCTCTTCTGCTCTGCTCTGCCTTGCTCTGCTGCCCTCCTTCGCCCGTCCACTGCGTTGCATCCCCTCGCCCCCCCCCCCCCCGCCATCCTCAGAAGCATTTGCTCAATACCGCTGCTGACAACGTCTCCCTTACAGGTTCGACTCTTCTGTCGGCCGCGGCGATTTCATCACCCGCATTGGTGTCGGCCAGGTCATTAAGGGTATGTTCCGACCACACCTGCCACGATCACTACCCCCTTACTTCACCGGAGCAATCTACAGATGATATTCCGCTAGTTTTCGTCTAAGTGACCGCTAATACATATACGCTGCAGGTTGGGATGAGGGCGTCACCACCATGAAGGTTGGCGAGAAGGCCACCCTTGACATCACCAGCGACTATGCCTATGGCGAGCGGTAAGCATCTTCTTCAGCCGCTGTGCCGTTGTGGCGCATGACAGACACTGACTTTCGGTTCTAGCGGCTTCACCGGTCACATTCCCCCTCGCGCCGATCTCATCTTGTATGTATCACCTACCTTGGCATTGGATCCAACCCTTTTCAGCATTTTCATCAAGCTAATAAGCTTTACTACAGTGACGTTGAGTTGAAGCACGTCGAATGATTGTAAGCACCTTGCTTCGCGAGGGCTATAGACTATAGAGAAACTGGCGATGTTATACATTCGGATCGTTTGCTCTGGGCGCGAACACATGGAAACTGCGTCCTCCAACTGAGGCCCCGTCGTGCATTTGGGCGATGCTGCTCAGCCAGCCACTCAGACACGCGCTAGATTGAATACAATCAAAAAAGAAATTCCCTAAATGACCCTCGGTGTCCTCGCACTGTCAAGCACGCCAAGCTGATCAGTAGCTGCGTAAACGCGGGATCTTGCGCACGGAGATTGGGTTCACTTCGCACAGCAGCGACGACGGGTGTCACGCATCTGCTCAATTATCTACAACCATTGTCGTGATCCAGTCTCGCCAAAAGTTGCCAGCGGATGGCAACCCTACCATGGTGGTATCCAGGGTTGTTGATATCTAGATCACTGTGTTCACAGCGTCAACGTTGTCGATGGTCGGTGATGAATTATTATGATGGCATGTCACTAAATCACCTAACATTGGTGCCGACAGTGGCCTGTTGCGATCTCCGAGGTGCGCATCAGAGCAGCCGACTTTCAATCATGCTAGCCTGTAGGGGTGCTTGGGAGTTGGAGGATTGTGTCAATGCCAGACGAGCTTAAGGGCCAGTGGCACTGGACTTCGCCCTGCGATGGAACTCGGTAGATCATCGGAGAAGCTGGCTCAGGACAGCAGAAGCACAGTGCCGGAAAAGAGTTTTGACCCCTCCACTATGTTCAGCCAGACACGTTACTTTGTTTCCTTGTACAGCATGTTCTACTGACTTCGCACTAACCCATGAGGTCAATCCGATTGCAGTCATCCACCGGCCTTGCCCGGGCGTACTGCGTAGATAGCTTGAAGGCACCTTAGGTACTTGGCAATGATGTCAGGAGCGGGAGACGCTTCTGCTCCTGTTAGAAATCGCCTACCCGTGGACCTAATTGTGCCCACAAGCGGTGGAGCTCCAGCGCCATACACTGTGTGCGTAGGTAGTACGTGAGAGAAGCTCCCCCAACCAAGGTAGATTTGTGAGGTAGCCCGGCACCTTTCTAGCGTTAGGCAGTAGGTTGCTTACCTTATCCGTAAGGTAGCGACCGGGCTCTACCTATGGAAGGTACGGATAGCTAGGCGCCTCTCACCTCCCTCAACCCCCACTGAATCACCCAGTTGGCCCCCTGCCCCTCGTCAACACCACCCCTCTCCACCCGCAGGTTCCTCGACCACCTTTACATCACTTCAACAAGGCTACTCTTCTGCCATCTGCGTCTCCATCTCGGAATCTCTACGAGTTTGCCTGGTGCACATTTTCCATTTCGACGCAGCGCACTTCCCTTTTCACGAACCCAATACCAACGGACTCCGCGGCCGAACGAGACGATACCTTCAAACACACATACGGGACACTTCGCTTCGTCGTTTGGTGGGGTTGAGCTGATCGTCCCATCGCCGTGTTTCCCTCCACGTCATAGTAGCACCTCGAGAGAAACAGCTCGCCAAGCTGGGGAAGCGCAAACTTTCCAACGGCGGGACACCGAATTCCCAGAAAAAAGCCATGGCTGTACGTTTTACCCCTTCGACTACGGTTGTGGCCGAAGCAGATGCTTCGCCAGAACGATCTTCTAACCCCGCAGCGGCGCTGCAGCTCGCGACGTGGCCGGCCTCTTCACGTCGCGTCATATCAGTCTGCTAATAACATCACCATGCATAGGACAAAAAGTTACCGGAGGTCGACCTGGTGACCCGTATGCAGGTTGACGACTCCGTCGTAGGGCTGACCGAGATCGATGAATCCCTCTACAGTCGCCAGCTCTATGTTCTAGGCCACGAGGCCATGAAGCGCATGGGCGCCTCGAATGTTCTGATTGCCGGTCTCAAGGGATTAGGT